TGAAACTATATCACACAGAAAGTGGTCAAGATCCCTCCCTCGGCCTGGTCATCTCTTACAGATGGATTCATGCTGAGATCTGTAAAGCACTAGACTCAAATGATTTGCAAGCATTCCAAGACATCTTGGAAGATACTTTACCCATGGAGGAGACACCTGATGACTTTTGTGATTCGCTAATTATGGCTTTCTAAAATAAGAGAAATAAATCAAATTGTACTCTTGCCTATCTCAGAAAAAATCTTTGCCTGTATTGTCATAAACAAACTTGTCACTCTCTCAGAAAGAAAACTTCCAGAGGTGCTGTGTGACTTTTAGCCAAAACGAAATACAGAAGACATAATATTCATTATAAGGCAAATCCAGATGAGGTGCATTGAGCAGAACAAGCCTCTTTACTCTGTCTTCGTTGACCCAATGAAGGCATTTGACATCGTAACCAGGGAGGCTCTCTGGATCATTCTGAGATGTTACAGATATCTGAGGAAATTCCTGAAGTTGATTCAATCACTACACAATGGAATGGTGTTACATCAACTGCATTTGCCATTTCCAATGGGGGTAAAACAAGTTTGTCTACTAGCCCAAGTCTTATTCAATCTGTTCTTCATCTGCCTATTGTTACATCTTGTCAAGGTCTGAAGGAGGAAATGTATGTCAAATATCATGGACAGCTTTTTTTAACTTTCACTGCTTGAATGTGCAGATAAAGTGCCTCCACACAGTCATTCAAAAACCCTGTTTGCTTATGACTGTGCACTCCTGACACAGAGACAGCAATTACAATTCATGCTAAACAAATTCTCAGAAGCTGCTATGCTCTTTGTCCTAATTATCAGCCCAAACAAGACTGAAGTACTTCACCAGCCCATGCCCAGTACCAAACCCATAGAAAGAAAAATCACTGTTGACAACACCCACCCATTGATAAAAAACAGCTTCAAATACTTGGGAAGCATCATCTTGAGTGAAGAGTCTCAAAGTAATTGATTCCAAAATCAGCAAGGCCAGCCAGGCACTATGTGATTATACTAGAATGCTCAGTCAACACAACATCTCCACAAAGTTAAAAGTCTACAGAGCTATGGTTTCCCTTCCCTCCTATATGGATATGTGTCTTGGACTCTTTATCAGTCAACTGGAGAAATTTGAGATGTGCGCTCTCCACTCTCTTTGGCATTCATTGGCAAGACTGTGTATCTGACTTGGAGGTCTTGGATCATGCAGAATCTACGAGCATTGGTCCCTAATCATCTAAGCCCTGATCAGACAGGTGGGACACATCATCAGAATGGATGACTGCTGCATGTTTTGCCAGTTGCTGTGTAATGTTCTGGAGTCTAGGTAGAGACCTCGACTGCTCAAGGGCTACAAAGACACTATGAAAGAAACCCTACATCACTGTGACATCCAGCCAAAGAAGCAGCAGTTGCTGAGAGAACCTGCTGGTGAAGTCTGTGCTGTGAAGCCTCCACCAACTTTGAAGATAGGCACAACCAAACATTGATAGAAAATTGTGAACAGCATCAGGAACTGCAATGCCACCTCTGTGTCCACAAATAACTATATACTGCAGTGCCATTTTCAAATCCAAAGTTTGAAAAGAGCCTTAAAACCAGTACAAAAATGCAAAAGGAAAAGAAGCCAATTAATTGTGTATTGAAGAATATTAGGATTTTTCAGAGATATTAGAGGATTAAAACTGTGATAATAATGATTATATACATACATAATGCATAAATGGGACAGATGCTTTATGTATATTTTTCCAAGCTGTGTAATAAAAAAAGCCTCTCATATCATGTTGCTTTCTCTTTTATGTCCTAGTTATTAAACTATGTTCTTTATGCTTGTGCTTTAAACATACATCTTATGAATAGATAAAATATTTACTATAAGTAAAGTCTCTTTTGTTTGTTTATTTTATACATTAGTACAATACATTTTATTTATTTTGCTTTTTAATTCCAGTACAGAAAACTGATGTAAAAACTCAATCCCAAAATACATTATAGAACAAATATATGTTAAATTTATAACTTTACAAGTGCATTCTTCAATTAATGAACAAATGTATTTGTTTATTGATCAATAAACAAATATGTTAAATATGCAATAATATATATTTTTAATCTAAAATAAGAGAGCAAACTATAGCAGTTGTTACAGCTGGTCTGCACAGTAAATTGGATCTTTTCTGCATCCATCTTTGTGTATTAAATCACGATGAAGTGAAATATATTCCCTTTGAATGTGATGTCGTTCCTTCATTTGGTACACATTTTGATTATATGACATTTTCTTTATCTAAACTCTGATGTTCAGTATGGGATCACAATAACTAACTTTCTTCTGGATTTTGTTTATTGTTCTCTCAAATATGCTCAAGAATTAGCATGAAATACTTTGAATAAACCATTTATTGGTATTATGCTGCATGATTCATAGTTTGGGAATAAAACATAGTGTTGGAGGCCCCAGGAAATGTTGTTGATAAATACTGTATTAAGTATGTGGAATAGTAGTAATACGTTCTATACATAATATACTGTATGCAGCATTTAAATATAATCAGTTCATAGATAAATATGGATAGACCAAAGGAAATCTATCTAATTTATTTTAATAGAATGAAAAAGGAATATGAAATATAAAATCATTTATGATTATAAAAACAAGAGCAAATATTGATTTGTATAATTTAAATAAAAATGTCCACATTTCATTAGTACCGCTTTATAAAAACTTAGTAAGACCACATTTGGAATATTGCATCCAGTTTTGGTCACCACATTACAAAAAAGATGTTAAGACTTTGGGGAAAAAAAAGTGCAGAGAAGAGCAACCAAGATGATTAAGGGCCTAAAGACTAAAACATCTGAAGAATGGTTGCACAATTTGGGTATGTCTAATATAGAAAAAAGAAGGATTAGGGGTGACATGACAGCAGTATTCCAGTATTTGAGGGGCTGCCACAAAGATGAGGGGGTCAACTTATTTTTCAAAGAAGGAGAAGGCAAGACAAGAAACAATGGATGGGAATTAATCAACCTAGAATTAAGGAGAAACTGTCTAACAATGAGAACAATTAATCAGTAGAACAGCTTGCCTTCAGAAGTTGTGGGTGCTTCATCACTGGAGGTCTTTAAGAAGAGATTGGATAGCCACTTGTCTGAAATGATATAGGGCTTCCTGCTTGACAAGAGGGTTGGACTGAAGATTTCCAAGATCCCTTCCAATTCTGATTGATTGATTCATTGATTGATTGATAATAATAAACATGTCAGCTAATGTTTAAACATCAGTCTTGAATAGTCAAAATATATTTTCCTATGTAGCTTCTTTCTGTTTTTGCTAATAATCCGATGAGTAAATGTAATTGATTTTTGGCAGTTTCATTTTCTAAAGGTAGATTGCTAGATATAACTGACATGGGAATACACCATTATGCTAAAAAAATAAACTAAGCATTTTTAGCACATAGCATATTTGGAGAAACATCTGAATGTATGTGCTTTGCTTGAAAGTCAAAAATTAAATTATAAAATCATGACTGACAGCTTACATAGGTGAAGATTATATTTGTGAATTCTCGAGAATTATAAATATATATAGTTTAAATTTATACATTATATTGGGCCATAAAATATTTTGTCTTAGCTTATAAACACAGTGATTGTTGTTTGTAAAGAGTGTTTTATAGCTTGGTGAAATATGTCAGCCTACCTCTTAATGTACATTTTGAGGTTATGATAGCACTACCCCCTAGACATATAGTAAAGTATCTGTTTTCAATTTAAGTTATGCTAATCTTATGTCAGGTGTCATTTGATTGCAGTAGAAATTTTCATTGAATAAATGAATAAATAAATATTCCATTCATTCTGTTCTCAAACAATATTGTCATTTTGTCAATTTAGAACTTACAAATGAAACTGTACAATAGCTAAACATTGGTAATGATATGACAGTATCTAGTGAATGTTCAGAGAATCCTGGATTTTAATCTTTAAACAGCCAACAGTAAACTATATAGTGGGATTCTTGTTTAAACATTTGATTGTTTACTGATTCATCCTAATAGCCTTCACACAGTTTACTTTCCATTATGGACTATTTAGTGTTGAGACACTTATCTTTTTCCCTCCATGCATTTTTATTCTGTTATGTATGTGCAACATAGTGATAAGTACTCTTTGATTTGTAGATAATTGCAGCAACTGTTTACATTATTTATGAGTGTCTTAGAATCCATTTACTATCCTGACTCAGATAAAACTGATTGCAACAACTGATAAGACCACAACAATAAAGTAATTAACTGCCTCAGTTAAAAGCTGCCTGGTCTGGGACATTAACTTTGTTTGCATTTCATGAACCATGCCTTCATTTTTCTGTTCTTTTTGAATCTGTTCAGTTCAATAATATTGTTATATATACATATATTTACATTTGCCACAGAAAGCTATATAAGAGCAACGTTAGATTACTTGTGGGAAATAATTTTTTGAAAAAGCGATTAATATTATTTTACTGTTTTACTCTCTATTTTTCTTTTAAAATTATGTAAAGCAACTTTCAACTATGAAATATAAGGGTAGTGAGGTGGTTAAGGGGATTTTTGTTGCACCTGGATTTGGAGTAGCTTATGGTAGATACTGATTATATTATATTTACAATCTTTTCCCAATCAGCTTGAGGGGAAGAACTGCTGCATGTTCTCGGTCCTTCTAGATTTGCAGTGATATGTATGAATACTTTGTAGGGATTGAAGAATGAAAACAGTAATGATGTGAATGAAGAAAATTAAAAGGTTCATCACTTGTTGGCCAAATTACAATGGACGTATTAACTATAGCCCTGTAGATTTTAGCAACAAAATTTTAAATATTACTGTACTAGAAAAATGTGTATAGTTAATGTGATCTTAATTTAATTACTCTGTTTCTAAAAAAATAAAAAGATTCTTATGTTATGTTTTGTTTTTCTTCCCTAATTAGGACAGAATTTTACCCTAAGACAGTTAGGAGTTTGTGAACCAGCGACTCGAAGAGGACTGGCATTTTGTGCTGAAATGGGGCTTCCCCACAGAGGTTACTCTATCAGTGCAGGGTCAGATGCTGACACTGAAAATGAAGGAGTGATGTCTCCAGAGCATGCCATGAGACTATGGGGCAGGGGGGTCAAATCAGGTCGCAGTTCCTGTCTCTCAAGTCGTTCCAACTCAGCTCTTACTTTAACTGATACTGAGCATGAAAACAAGTCCGACAGTGAGAATGGTAAGTTTGTCTATGTCTAAACTTAAAATCTATTCTAAAACTTCATGTATGAAATACTAATTTTTAATTTTGATTATAATTTAAACAAACATTTAAACAAAACAAATGGAAATAGAATTCATTTGTAAATTTTACCCAATTGATTGTTAATGTAACAAGATTATTCTGAATTAGGTAAAACACAGGTGACATTAGAACACTGAAGTATTATCTCTAATTGCTTTTTCATCCATGTGGCTTCCTAATTTTGTGTTAGCATATATACTTTGGTTAAAGAAAGCCCTATGTAGACAATAAGAGATATATCAGTAAAATGCCTGAGAACATAAAACAGTTTTATAAGAAATATAAATTAAAACAGTTCGAACAAAAGAAGCTTTCTGATGAACCAAATCTTTATTTTTGATGTTTTGAACTCTGTTCATAAAAATAGAACATTATAGATACTTTTATAAAAAAACATCTTTTTTTAAAATTATACAGCAATTTAGATCATACATATTCCTTTATATTTGAAAGAAACATGGCCTGCAGAAATAAAGGGTAGAGCTTTTCCCAGAATAAAATAGTGGATGCATTTCTTTTATAAATCTAAACTAATAATGATTTTGCAATCTCTAATAATTTCACTGGGGATAGGAATATTAGTGCTCTTTAAAAGAGAATAATATTTTGGAGAAAATCTATTGGAGCAAAATAAATTTGCATCCCAGTTTTATCCCAGAATATAGCTGTTATGAAACATTATATATATTTATATGTATATTATTGCTAATTTCATTAAAAATACAAATCCTGGGTATAGTCATATTATAAAAACAAACAATCATGAACACCAGGAAAATTTTTAAACTAAAAACATTTAATCTAGTGCCAAGCTTTCGTCGGCCAACTGCCGACATCATCAGGGCTTAAAACCAGTCAATGGGAGTCTCCTTTATAGTGCTAGTCAGTTTCTGCACACTGCTCCTGGATCTCCTTATCGGTCCTACTTGATTGGGCTGCATGTTGGTTCTATTCTTGATGTTGCTTGATGCTACCGCTCCGTTACTTGCTCTATTTCCTCCACTCTCCTTGTTTGTGCGTGTGTTGTTATCTATCTCCTGGCCTTTCTTGTGGACACATCGACAAAAGGCCCTCACATCAGAGATTCCAGGCTGCCCAACGGATAACATCAACAATATTCATGCACTTGCAGCAACAATAAAACATAAAAACAGTGGAGTGGAACCCATTGGACGGTGTATTGACGGCCCCACAATAAAAACTCGATTGCGATTGAAAGAAGAGGACAACCCAAAACACCATAGACAATATGAAGATCGCAACAGTAGATTTTTAACAAACATAAAAAAGGGAGGGAGGAAGAATGGCCACCCCACCAACTAACCCTACGTGTAAGCATAAGGCCACGAGAAAGAGAGGTGTAGGCTCAGACACACAATGCAACAATACCCCCATGAAGAGGGGATGAGTACAAGCCGCATTAGGCAAAGGCAACGGATCAAAACGGAGACCGCAACGCAATGATTGGGGTGACTTGAATGTAATTAACATCGGAGACGAGGAAGAAGGAATGGAGACCATAGGAGGTGGTATACGTGTAGGACATGGCCATGAACATATGGGAAGTGTAGCGGGGGGGGGGAAAGATGAGAGAGAATACCCAGCACATGCCCTAATGGAGCGAGAAGGAGTAACTGGGAAAACACAGAGGAAACTAACGGCCAAAAAAGGGGGGGAAGGGATACGCCGAACTCAGGAGCCTGTAGTAAGGAGATAGATAACAACACACACACAAACAAGGAGAGTGGAGGAAGTAGAGCAAGTAACGGAGCGGTAGCATTAATCAACATCAAGAATAGAACCAACACACAGCCCAATCAAGTAGGACCGATGACGAGGTCCAGGAGCCGTGTGCAGAAACTGACTAGCACTATAAAGGAGACTCCCATCGACTGGTTTTAAGCCCTGATGATGTCGGCAGTTGGCCGATGAAAGCTTGGCACTAGATTAAACGTTTTTAGTTTAAAAATGTTCCTAGTGTTTGTGTTTGTTTGTTTTTATAATATATGTACATATACATATACATATACATACATACATACATACATATATAATAAAAATGGAAAATTAATTAAAATAAGAAAGTTGAAACTTTCTGTTTCTTCTGATTTAGTGCAAGATTTAGAGAAAGAAATCACTGCAGAGCAATGTAATGAGAAGCCATTTTTGTTGCTCTTAGCAGTCTTCAGTAGAAAAGAATAAAAATAGAATCAGGATTAGAGTTAGGTCAAGTAAAAGTAAATAAACTTCTTAAATACTGTATTGTATAAGATTACAGAAAGCGTTTAGAGAATACGTTTATATTTTCATTCTTATATTATCAGTTGCAAGATTTAGGGGAGTTAGATTTTGTTTAGAATTTTTTAAATGTTCCTAAATTACATTTTTCACATGATAAAGCTTAAAATTGACTCTACTGAGTGATCCTGGAAAGGTGGCCTAAAATATGGACTAAACCTTTGAATGGAATATTATTAATAATTTTCTGACCAAGATAAAATTGTTAAGATTTCTTATGTAATTTATGCATGATCTTATGTGTTGGGAGAGATGTGAATGGAGATATGCCTGTTTTGGAACAGATGAAACCCATTGTAGGTTCCTGTAATAACATAGATATAACAATTTTCATATGGCAGAAAAAGTAAATAAATCCTTTCTCTAAGATGATATCATTTAAATATATGCCACATCAAAAGTAGCAAACATTGATGTTTGAGCATTTTCCTTTATTTTGTATTATCAGATAAAGCAACTAATTTTATAAGAATTAGATCTGTTGCTTTTATTCATAATAGAAATTCAGCTAACTAAAACAGATAAATCAACTGTTGATTTTCTGGGAATTTCCTTCTTTAATTCTTTTAGCTGATTAAGGGTTCAGCAGTCTAGTTCTATATGTCCTGTTTCTTAGACAACTTATCTGTTGTGGAATGTAACACTCACAATCTTCACCAGCATAGTTTGATTTGAATATATGGAGCACTTAGAGATGGTCCCAATGATACATAGTTTTTTCTCAGAATATAAATGTTTTTTTTTCCAATAGAAACTATTATATTACTGTAATATTCAAAGTTATTGGGGACTGTCAAATACATATTTTATTTTGCTTTGGATTGTATGTAGTTTATATTTATGGGAATATACAACAGATTGATATAATTTCTGTTAATTGCTTAAGTTAAGTTGTCTTATTCTCAGTCTCTTTCTCAATAGTATTCTATGTCCTATTTTAGCCTTATTAATAGGTTGTGCTCCAGAAGCATGCAAATGTATAGATGTTGAAAAGGTTTCAAACTGAAAGTGACAATTTCAAGATGTTAAGGGGAAATTATTTAATAAACATCATGTAAGTGAAATGTCTATATTATCTATATTAGAACTAAGTCATAAAGTTAATATCAGAACAGAAGGAACTGAGACACACACATCAAATTCATTTCACTTTTTTTTTACAAACCTAACATGCACTTCAAATTCTTTCTTCCTCTCAACATTCTCTTCTTCTCCTCCATGTTTATCCCTTGTTGTTGTTTTTAACCTATTTAACTTTCTCAAATCATTTATTCTTTTTTATTCCATAACTCTTTCCCATCTATTCACCCACATCTTGGGTGAATCTTTGTCCCAGATATTTTGTAGGAGAATAAATGAAATATAGGACAAATACAGTGGGGGAATTTGTAACTATAGGGAGTAAGAAGAATGATCTTGATAGAGATATGCACAAACTTTTGCCTAGGCAAAAGGGTCTGAAACATTTTTTAAGTCTGGAATGTCTAGATGATATTCAGAAGTCACTCAGTGAAAGACCTCTGAAATATAAGGGAAATGAGGAAGTGCAACACTTGTAAGATTCTGTTACTACAACCAATTTCAATAGAAGTACTTTTATTTTTTGAGTGGAGTTGATTGCATGGTCTACCTACATAGTGGAGCTGACTATGACATGATGTAAATTTTGCATCTTTATTGATTTATTTGGTTTATATCATACTTTTGTAAATACCTCTATATGACTTATATTGGTATCTCCATTTGATTCCCAAAACAACTCTGGGGAGGAAGGATGAACCGAAGGATGAAGAGAATGACCAGCCCAAAATCAATGAATAAATTTCCATGATGAAGCATGCACTTGATCCTGGGTTCCTTCATCCACTATTACCCCAAAAATGAATTTTTATTTGGAAATAAGCAGTGAAAAAGTGATTTGAATGTTGATTTTGGAAAGCTTTCATATGGACTACTGGGAAACAAGACTATTAAAAATGTTAAGAATATATCCTGTTGTTTGTTTAAAATCCTATTAAAAATATATGAAGATCTGAGTTTAAGTGTAAGAAATCTCTTCCTGAGAAATGTTCCAGATGAAAGAAAAACATGATAGAGGAGGCTGATTGAAGGCTGGTTATTAGAGGCAACCAGAAAAAAATAAAACATAATTAAAGGAGAATTCTCACTAATACAGAATGGAGAAAAAAATTAACTTAACCTTTGCCTTTATTGTCATTTTTTTACTGTGGGCACAATAGCACACATCAAAAATGAAATTTAGTTGCCCGCTTTCAAAGTGAAACACATACATGACATACCCTAAAAACATACTATATACAACATATGTATAGACCCACACCCCTACATATACATAACAAATAAATAATAAATACTGTCCCTCTTGCATACTGTATATAATGGAAAGAGGAAGCTTGAGAGTTCACAAGATTAATGATATACTGAATGAAACTATGGCTGAATCTGGATGTTCTGCTGCGGATACCACAAAGCCTTCTCCCAGAAGGTAACAAGGAAAACTCTGGAAGAATTTAAGGATATTTGACAATAATGTATCCAGAGCTTACTTTTTAGATCAGGGTTGTCAAACTGCTGGCCCGCGGGCCAGATGCATCATAGAAACTGCGCCCACCCCA